TGTTGAGAAGCTAAATATCAACTGTTTTAGGAAGAAATTCCTAATTTCCAGCCATGTTTCCCGATTTGCCGCCAAATTGCTGGGGTTGTTGAGTTGAGTCCACGGAGGGAAGGGCTTTTCCATTGTAACTGATGGGCTGGGAAGGCTTTAATCATTGAGACTGAAGAGCTGTCGTTAGGGGTCAGGCGAGAAACTGGTGCTCACAGCCTCTCGGAGAATGCTATCTCTGACTGACAGGTAATTGTTAACCGCTTGGAGGGAGATACACCTGACCTATCAGTGACTGGTCTTCAGCTGCTTTTCCCAGCTTCCTGCCTTCCCTTTGGGACAAGGCAGGAGGGAGGAAAAGAGCTTGTATAACCTCACTTTCTATCTCCGAGGAGTAGAGGTTACGCCAATGGCTCCATGAGTAACACCAGCCTACTTCACCTCAGCTTCCATCCCCTCAAGAGGGAATAGACATTGAGATCGGGCAGGAAGGAGGCAATATCCCAATGTAGGGTCTGCACCCAGTCGATCAGCTCTCTCAACATGCCTGAGGCCTCATGTCCTAGCGGGTTGAAGCTCTGACAGCCTATGTGCAGCTTCCTGGAGTACAACCATCTTCCCAGAGGATCAGGCGCTATCAAAGGGCCTATTGTTGGAGGACCAAGCTCACACCCAGTGCACTGCCCCTGTACACCACCACACCCTCTCTACCTCTTAACAATTGTGTGTTCTCTTGCAAAGAGAGAAAGGTGAGTGATAGTTTGTCTGGAGAGGAGTGGGGTGCAGAGTGTTTGTGCAGAGTGACTGAGAGGGCAATAGGATGAGGGTGAGTGAGTGTCGGTTGTTTAGCTGTGGTGCCTGCAGAGTGAAGATTGAGTGCAGACAAAAGGTGTTTTGTGCTGACGACGGCTGTAGGGGGCAATGGGTGAAGGGGTCACAGAGCATGGGATAGTCACACACTCCTTTCCTGCCCTCCCGCACTCCTGGATCCTCTTGGTGCACTGTCGCTTGGTTTGAAGCAACACATCGCTGTAGTGGCTACTTCCATCCATGCTCATTCAGGTTGGAAGACTGTCACCTTGCTCCTGTCCTTAGGGGGAGCACCTCATTGCAATCCACTGATCTCAGACAAGACACCCAGATCAAAGCTATGTCCCTGTGCCTCCTCTCCGATTCTGCTACAGCTTGAAAATACCAAGCACTGGTGAGCTTCTTCAAACACACAACTGCACTTTAATGAGACATTGTTCCTTTGACACAACGGAAGAATTGTCCCTCATGCTGTAGTTGGTCAGGAGTATAGAGGCAGGATGCTAACTGGCTTTCTCTTCTAAAGAGTGACCAAATGCGTGCACACCAAGGGTTTGTGTTCCAAATCCAGTAAAGATCCAGTCTTTGCTCTGGGCACTAAGGCAGCATCTGTTCAGTACCTCAACCATTTCAGTAACATTTGCTGTATAGTTTTCCTACTGATTTACTCGTGATCTTATCCCTATCTTATTTCTCCTTTTTATTATTTACCTGCACATGAAATACTTTATTCTTTGCGAATATCAAAACAGATAAAAGCAGTTCATATCTGCTCTTTGCTAATTCATCACATTCCCTTTATGTTTCATCTCCTTTGTTTAAGTCTTTCCACTTTGGAATTGAGATGAGGAGAAAGGTCTACATGCAGAAAGGGTGGTTGATCTTCGTAATTCCCTGTGGATGCTTCTTCACTGGGTGTGTTCAGAACAGATTTTATTGGAAGCTAGAGGATTTATGGAATATGTGCAGAGTACAGAAAACTGGTGAACAGGTAGAAAATCAACCATGAGTCAATTAAACAGAGGAGCAATCTTGAAGGGCTGAATGGTCTACGCTTCAAGGTAGCATTTGACCGAGTGAGGCATTAAAGAGCTTTAACAAAAATGATGTCAATGTGAATCAGGAGGCAAACTCTCTGCTGGTTGGAGTCACACCTGGCACAAAGGATGATGGTTGTGGTTGTTGGAAGTCAGTCATCTCAGCTCCAGGACATCTCTACAGGAATTCCTCAGGGTAGTGTCCTAGGCTCAACCATCTTCAGCTGTTTCGTCAATGGGGAAGCAGCGGCATAGTCATAATGTCATTGGATTAATAATCCAGAGCTCCAGGCTAATATTATGGGAAGTAGAATCCCACAATGACAAACAGTGAAGTTCGAATTCATTAAAATCTAATGCCAACTATATCAATTTTTTAGAGAAGAGAAAAAGCCAATCACTGCAAAGGCAATTTGGGATGGGCAAGAATTGTTGGCCTTGTTAAAGATAGCCACATCCCAAGCAAGAATAAAGAGAGAAAGTCAGAAGTGGGGATGTTTGCTGATGATTGCACAATGTTCAGCACCAATGTTCAGGAATTCACAGGCACATTGTGATTGATTCTAAACATAAATTACACCTGAAATGACAAATACAAATCAGATAGATTTTGTGAATTGGCTAAGCAATCCAGTCATGGATTGTAGTGACAAAAGTTCTTCAAAGCTCTGTCTTTCTCACAAGAAGTTTCAGCTCCTCCTCTTTGAGGACTTACTCAGATGCCTAGGCAATAGCAGTGCACAACAAACCCAAATTCTATGGGCGATATGTTCACCGACAACCACATAACTCCACAGAACTGTCTGCTTGTTCTTAGCTTCTAGATCTGTTCTGTCAAGCCCGCACATACCACACTCCCTAGTGGACTCCTCAACTTCTGCTGACCTCTGATGACTCTGTCCCTTTTTGCATGATTTCAACCAGACATCAAGTCTCTGTCTCAGTTTTGTTAGCGAACGGGATGGCCAATTTCCCTATCCAATTAGGACCTATCCCGAAAAAATGCAAGGTTTTCACACAGATTCCAAGACTTCCCTGAATTCTATTGATCTCCTCCTTTAAATATTGCCATTGTTCTTCTGTCTCTGTGTCAGCATTTTTCTCCTCTGATCTTCCTGCACTCAATCCTCATTCTCTAATAGAATCATACACTCCCTACAGTGTGGAAGCAAGCCACTCGGTCCATCGAGTCCACACTGACCCACCCCCTACCCTATCACAGTAACCCTGCATTTCCCACAGTCAGTGCACCTAACCTGCACAACTCTGGACACAATGGGCAATTTAGCATGGCCAATCCACCTAACCTGCACATTGAGTCAAACAGCACAGAAACAGACCCTTCGGTCCAACTCATCCATGCCAACCAGGTTTCCCAACTAAACTAGTCCCACTTGCCTGTGTTGGCCTATATCCTTCTAAAACTTTCCTACTTATGTACCTGTCAAAATGTCTGTTAAATGTTGTAACTGTACCTGCATCTACCACTTCCTCAGGCAGTTGATTCCACATACGTACCACGCTGTGTGTGGAAAAGTTGCCCTTCAGGTCCCCTTTAAATCTTTCTCCTCCCACCTTAAAATTATGCCCATAGTTTTGAACTTCCCTACCCTGGTGAAAAGACCTTGGCTATTCACCTTATCTATGCCCCTCATGATTTGTTGGACTGTGGGAGGAAACTGGAGCACCCAGAGGAAACCCACGCAGATATGGGGAGAATGTGCAAACTCCACACACCTTGAACCCAGGTCCCTGGTGCTGTGAGGCATTGTTGGCCTTTCCCCAATCTAAACATTGGCCTTTGAAATAATAGTATATTTTGTTCAATCGTTGTTTTAAATTCTATAATGATCACTATTGCTGGGATGTTCCACGAGACTAACTTGCCTTATTAGCCTTGTTATATATTGGATCAACAAGGAACCCTTTACTCCCTTGCATTGGTGCAACATATTTTGCAATCTCAGGAAATACCAAAGCATTTTACAGTCACTGCTGTATTTTTAAGTCGACTCCATGTTGTAAAATATGAAACATTACAACAAATTTGCACACGGTACATGCCCACAGACAGCAATGAAATAATCAACCAAATAATCTGTTTTATAAAGAAAACGTTCATTTAAATAGCATTTTCCCCAGACACTGGATGTATCAAAGCATCTTAAAAGCCAGTGACGCACTTTTCCAACAGCCACTGTTATAAAATGACGGCCAGTAGTGATGTGGAAATGCCAATGTTGGACCAGGGTGGATAAAGTCAGAAGTCACACGACACCAGGTGATAGTCCAACATGTTTATTTGAAATCACAAGCTTTCAGAGTGTTGCTCCTTCACCAGGTGAAGCGGAGGGAAGTGAACAGGACTTCTGACTTCAGCCAATTCATACAGAGCAAGGTCCCATTGGAAAGGTTGTCACCAGATTGAGTCATAGAGATATACACCATAGAAACAGACCCTTCAGTCCAACTCGTTCATGCCAACCAGATATCCTATATACATCTGGTCCCATTTGCCAGCATTTGGTCTATTTCCCTCTAAACCCTTCCTATTCATATATCCATAGAGATGCCTTTAAATGTTGAAATCGTGCCACTTCCTCTGTCAGCTCATTCCATATGCGTACCACCCTCTGCTTGAAAAAGTTGCCCTTTAGGCCCCTTTTATATCTTTCCCCTCTCACCTTAAACCTATGCCCTCTAGTTTTGGACTCCCCCACCCCAGGGAAAAGACCTTGCCTATTTAACCTATCCATGCCACTCCTGATTTTACAAACCTCTATATTTTCTGACATTACTGGTTCCGTGCTGTCGGACGAAAAGGAACAAAACAGTTGTGTTTCTGTAGAGCCTTTCACAGCCATCAAATATCTCAAAGTCTTTTGTAGTCAACAAAGTATTTTTGAATTGTAGTCACTGTTGTAATGTAGGCCACATGACAGCCAATTTGCTCACAGCAAGCTCCCACAAACTGTGACAATAACCATATTCTGTGCTTTTGTGATGTTGTTTGAGAGACTAGTATTGGCGGGGAAACCAAGAGAACTCTCCTATTCCTCATCAAAAGGCACTGCAGAATGCACAGTTTGCATAAGTGCAGAAATTAACTTTTCTTTCTGGTAGAAGACATTCATCAGATGTTCTCTTTATTTTTCTTGTTGGCAGAACCATCTTCTTTCAAAAGGCTTGGTCTTGATGGAAGAAAAGGTGCGGGTCTGTGAAGGTTGGTACAAAGACAGTAAAAATCTCGACACCATCCAGGGCAAAGCAGCCTTTTTGATTGACGCCCCATTCACCGCCTTCAACTTTCAACCCTGATGCCCAGTCGCAGCAGTGTGTACCATCTACAAGATGCACTGCAACAACTTTCTAAGGTTCCTTCAACAACATCTTCCAAACTCACAACCTTTAACACTTATCACCAACACCTGAAATGTTCCTTTCAAATCACAGCCCGTCCTGACTTTAATATATATCAAGGTTTCTTCATTGTTGCTGTCTCAAAATCCTGCAACTCCCTTCTTAGCAAGTATCTCTGCAGTACTAAGACTGAAGTTGTTTAAGAAGGCAGCTTCTTCAGGGCACATTCTTCAGGATGGGTAATAAATCCTGGTCTACCAGTAATGCCCACATGCCATGAACAAATTTTTGAAAAAAGACGCTAGGGACTGATATGAATGTTACCCAGTTAGCCATATTGATCAAGGGTTTAGTACAGTTTGATCCTTTTAATTCAAAGTCACTAGACTCAAAACAACAAAAACTATTCCAATAATTGAATGTTAAAGTGCCAATTTGCTGTGCTATTTGCATTGATTAATTTAAATTGGATAATTCAATCTATTCAGTGAAAAATTGGGTTCCATAATGAGAACCGCAATGTATTTCATTTAGTTCAGTATGAGGTGACTTGAGATTACAGTCAAACACATGAGCATGATTTTAGCCAGTAAACAGCATTGAGTGGAAGTTCAGCAGTTGTTGCACATCCAGTAGTGGTGCTAAATATTCTCACATATACAATGCATTCTGCTCAACACTGAGCTGCTGTCATAGCTAATAATATTGACTTCAGTGTAAGCATTTGGAAGGTTAATATTCATCGAGCCCATGTTTAAATTGTTGGTGAGATCAGTACGTATTGAATGTCACATGAACCAGTTACCCCATCCCCATGGAATGTTATATTTTTGTATCTAAATGCTTGCTGCATTGAGTTTTTTGGAGAGATTCTCACCATGAGCCCCAGTGAAATTTTCCACCACACCATATCAAATGCGTCTCATTAACTACCTACTGCATTCCTACGGTGTCCCTTACATCCAGTTCCAGCCCTATCTTAGCACAGTTCCCAGAACAACTTGCTACGGTTTGGATATCCAGCAGTATCCCCAGTGCCCGAGCCACATTTAAGAGGCTGCCGTGCACCTGGATGAGCGCTGGCATTCCCAAAGCTGCCCTGAACATGTCAGAGAAGGGGAAGTGATTCCCCAACAGGGACCTGAAGGTCCTGAGGGAGGGGGCCTCATCCCAGAAGACTGGCAGAGGAGGCCGTGCATTAGGGTTAGACCTTAGCAGCCTGGTTACCCAGTTGACTCAGTGCCATCTCCAGGGTCAGGAGGAATGCCCAGCAGTGCCGTAAGAAGTTCAGGTGAAGACTGGGACCACTCCTGCAGGGATACTGAGGTACCCATGTCCCACTAACTGAGTAGGTTGCATTCTTCACTCCCCTACAACTCTCACGTTAACCCTACTGTCAGTCCCACTCATTGCACACCACTTCCCGGCCATCAAACCACTTCTGTCTTGTAGCTATGACCCAACATGTCCACCACTCCCACAGAGAAAAGACCGGCTGCCTGCAGCAGCACCCTCCTCGATGTCCAAGGACGGAGGTATTGAGGCCTGGGAGGAGGTATCAGCAAAGCTGCCTCCTGACCCCTCCCTCCCTTCCCCAGATACTGGCACCTTGATAGAAATGTCTGTCATAGAGAGTGTAAGGATGAACACCTCATTGTGACAGCTCCACAGCTGCTCAGCGATGGAACCAGCCCAGGCCGCTGGCTGTCGGAGACCAGGCCCCTGCTCAACCCCAGACAAGACAGGACCGTGTTGGGTCGTACAGAGGGAGGAATAGGAGAAACAGACAGGGATGTAGGGGACAATGACCCTTATTGCCCAGAGGCTGCAGCAGTGCAGTGTATCATGTGACCGTTTGGCTTCCTCCATGGATAGGCCAGAGGTTGCCATGGATAGCTAGGCCCAGCATCCTCAGGGGCTGCTGGAGAGGCACACACTACTGCACTCCATCGCCCACACGTTGGTCCTCGGGATTCAAGATGTGCGTTAGGACTTTGGGAACTTGGCTCGTTCTCCAGGTGCCCCTTCCTCAGAGGAAGATGGGGCAGTGCCAGGGGGCACCATCCAGAGGAGGAATCACATACAACCGCTCAGGACACTCCAGAGGTGGTCAGGCCTTTCACCTCCACCCTGTCTGACCTCCTCCGACCCTTGGATTTTGAAGACCATCGACGTGTCTGTGCTGTCCCTCGGGATCTCCCTGGCCCAAAACCAATGGGACTCGCTGCCAAGAATGCTCTCTCCACACTCCTGATGGAACCCAAGACTACACTGAGACATTGTGGAAAGGAGAGGAAGAAGGAAAACCTATTGAGGGGACATTGGTGGCAGTGGCAAGGCACTGGGTATGAATTCTCATGCTTGTAGAAATGTCACTGTTTTGCCTCTACTTTGGTTTGTACAAGTCTCTGTTTACTTGATTGCCATGAACATTAGCTATTTGATATTTTCCACCAATCACTGTTGATGCTTTTACCTATGTCCCTTTGTTTGTTCTTAGGTGAAAATCTTTTGGAAGCTTTAACAAGTAGTTGGGATAATTTCTTCACTGAAATCCTACCCATGTTACAAGCCATATTTTATCCTGTGCAGGTAAGGTAGGAATGCGAGGGTTGATTCTGGATTATCTAACACCTTTGCAACAAAAACAGCATTCTTATCATGGTTCAGATTAAAAAACAGCGCTTCATTTTCCACTTGGGAACTCTGCAGCCTTCCAGACTTAATATTGAGTTCAACAATTTCAGGGCTTGAGGCCATGTCCTTAACCCCAACCCCCACAAACCAGGTTGTGTCATCGCATGGGCTGCTACTACACACAACCTATTGTCAGCTACTAATATCCCCCATTATTCATTCTCCCAGACTGTCCTTTACCCACCCCTTTGTCTGTCCAACTGCTTTTCTCTCTCTTTGCACTCTATCTCCATTTATCGTTTACCCTTGCCCGCTGCCACCCCCCAACCCCATTTTCTGAATGAAAAACATCCTTTTCCTAGCTACCATCAGTTCTGAGGAACGGGCACTCAACTGGAAACGTTAACTGTGATTTCTTTCCACAAATGCTGCCAGATCTGCTGAGCTGTTCCAGCAATTTCTGTTTTTGATTCTGACTTTAGTCCAGCTAGATCCCCTTCGCAACTTACTTTCTGACCTATCATTCGTAATGCCCTCATTGGTCGTGCAGCTACGGTATTCTGTTGTAAAGAGTTCCAAAAAAAATTCACATGCAATTGATTGAAGAAACTTCTCCCAACTTTAGTCCCAGATGGCTGATTTCCTATTTGGAGACTATGCCCCTGTATGTACTAGATTGCCCAGCCAAAAGAGTCATTGTCTCAATAGTGACCCTGACAGTCTCATCAATAACTTTGTGTTTTTCAATTAGATCTCTTCTTCTTCAAACCTCCAGGGAATATGGGCCAGGTTCACTCAATTTCTCCTCACAGGATAATGCCTTCATCCCAAGAACCAGGCTCGGGAGCCTTTGTTGCCATCTGTCCAGGGCAAATTTGTCCTTCCTAGGTTACACACAATATTCCACTCCAGGCCCCAGTAATGGCCTGTAAAAATCTAATCAGAACTATCGCGATATGGTACGGTAGACATGACGAATGTAATCAGATTCAGTGATACTCCTTCGTAGGTTTATCTGTGAGGTTGCTGAATGAGAGAGACAGGCCCAGATTCAGGCCCTTCTCAACTCGGCTGGTGAGGGGGGCTGGATGGACATGACTGTTGCCCTCACTGCCCATGGCCACAGAGGGAGAGATCCACCAGATATCCCCAAGGTGTGAGGTGCTTGCTGGAATAGGCCATGAGAAAGTGCCAGGTGAGCAAGGGAGAACCCTCAGCTACGGTACCCCTCACCGTTGTTCCCATCTGCATAGCGGAAACTCAATAATATCAGCATTCGCCTCCCATGACCCATTCCTGCTCGAGATGAGAGGGCAGAGAGCGAAATTGATGGAGGAAACTTATTGGTGGTGACTGGTCAAGAAGCAGTTATCACTTTTTTGTTTTCCCAGCTCCCTAAACATAACTGTCTCTCTGTCTCTCTCTCTCACACACACACAACACAAACACCCACACAGACATGCTCACACACATGCAAACACTCTCTCACACACTTACACACAGACACTCTCTCTCTGACACAAGCACACGGTCACTCAGACATACACACAGATTCACACTCTCACACACACTTATACATACAGATACTCTCATACACACACACTTACACTCATAGAGTCATAGAGATATACAGTGCGGAAACAAACTCTTTGGTCCAACCCATCCATGTTGACCAGATATCCTATATAAATCTAATCTCATTTGCCAGCATTTGGCCCATATCCCTCTAAACCTTTCCTATTGAAATACTGATTCAGATGCCTTTTAAATGTTGTAATCACACCAGTCTCCACCACTTCCTGTGGCAGCTCATTCCATACACGCACCAGCCTCTATGTGAAAAAGTTACCCCTTAGGTCCCTTTTATATCTTTCCCCTCTCACCTTAAAATACACTCTCTTACACACACGCTTATACACAGACACTCTCACAAACACACACATACACAGACACTCTCTCACACACACATACACAGACACTCACACACACACTTACACAGAGACACTCTGTGTCACAAACACACACAGGCAATTTCTCACATACACTCTCTCCGTCTCGCTCTCTCTCTCTCTCTCTCTCTCACACACACACACACAGATGCATGTACACTCTTACAAACAGACACACACACACTCTCTCATACACACATATACACACACACACACACACACACATGCACACACACACACGCACGCACACACACACTCTCATACACAGACACACACACACACTCTCATACATATATAACAGTTACGGAGAGTTATGGAGACGTCATTCAAATATGCTGATTTTGTCACTTACAAGGTTGTTCTTTAATAACCAAGGTCACTATATTTGGCAAAGATGGCAAAAGGTTTTACTGCTCTCGCCCACAAAACTATTAGAACAGCAGATATGTGGGAAAGGAAACAGCCGTGAGTCTGTTTGAAGGGGATCAGGATTCTCTCTCCCTGCATGGGGCAGTCTTGGGTTCTGCACTTAATCCCTGTTGGTGTGTGCTAACTATTTAGAGATGTTCACAAATCCCGCTGCTGATAACAGGAGCCTGTGGAGAAGCATCTAGATTTCAGCTCATCACCTCCTGCCAGACATTGCACTGTGACCTAGAAATCTGTTTGCAAGAAATCATCTATGATGTCCTCCATATTTGAGGGCACTGCATGTTGTGAATTTAATGGCTGCAATTTCGAGCAGTTGCTATCACATTTGAGGAGCAGGAAGCCCACAGCAACATTTTTTTTTTAATTCACTCTTGGGACGTGGGCATCGCTGGTAATGCACATCTCTAGCTGCCCTTGAACTGAATGGCTCATCAGGGCCATTTCAGATTGGGCAGTCGAGAGTCAACCATGTTGCTGTGGGTCTGGAGTCACATGTAGACCAGATCAGGTGAGGATGGCAGATTTCCTTCCCTGAAGGGCATTAATGAGCCAGATGGGCTTTTCCGATAGTTGGCACGGTTTCACAATCTTCAGTAGATTCTTAATTTCAGATTTTTTAAATTGAATTCCACCATGGTAGGATTTAAACCCAGATTCCCAGAATGTTAGGGTCAGGATTAATAGTCTAGCGATAATACCACTAGGCCATCACTTCCCCTTATCAACATTAATGCTTATTAACAGTTTCTGTGTCACTTCGGTGCCTGTTGTTGTGTCCTTATCACACAGTCTTTCTGTGACAGCTCTCTCTTGTCCGTTGTCCGCCTTTATAATGGGAATATTCTAAACAAACCCATCAATCCGTCACCTGGATCAGTGCTAGCAAAGTAGCAGGCAAGGGGAAGATGCAGAGAGTTGGATTAGCAAAATGATGGAAGTTGTTGAAGCTTTCACCACTCTGTGTGCAGTTCATTAATGTAACCACTAGCCATGGCACCCTACCTCCCACCATCTGAAAAATCCAGTTCCTTGCAGTATGTGGCATTTGTTTTTATGGGAATGGTTCTTAACATATATCACGTTCCTGCATCTGTGCAACGTGTTTCTTTCAAAGCACTTTGTATGACAACATTGGCAATATCGCTTCTAGCCAAAAAGACTTAGAAGTCTTTGCTTTGAAGAAAGCAATCTTGTGAAAAGCAGCACGGGTGACTTCAATGCTTTTTTTCATCAGGGGCAGGAGCTCACAATCCGTCAGATGGCCTTGCTCGGATTCCGAGATCTGGTCCTGCTCAAGGTAGATCTGGAGCAGGTGCTCCACCAGCCTCATACCAGTGTGCCTCCATCCATCACACAGATGCTCCTAGTGCTTCAGGTGAGAGATTGATGTCAATGGGGCCGAGCTCGGGCAGGCTAGAGCATACCTTTCCTTTTGTAACTACCAGTCAGGCTAACTGGCTGTGATCTGTTCAGGGCTCCCAGCTGAGGCGGTGCAGTTGCCATTCTCAGTTGAACCCACAGGTCAGATTTTCACAAGAGCATGGACAATGCCAGAGAAGTTTATAGGTTGTAGGTGGGGCTTGGTTCCACATTGTCATCAGCAGGGCAGATAGCAGTGGGAGGTGGTGTGACCACACCCTGTACCCACAGCTGGCTTGATCCAATGTGGGAGTTGGGACCTCATACACCATCCTCTCTCAATTTTCATGGAATTAGGTCAAATTCATGAGGACATATGGTTCAGGTCCCTCAGAAGAGTCAGGAACTGTAGTCTGAATCCGGGGGAATAAGCCATATGTTTTCAAGGTATTAGCCATTCCCCCCCTTTATGTTCCTACATGCCCCCTCCCATGTTCTGTGTTGGATCCCTGTATCCTCCACACAAATTCATCCAGCATGAAGTATAAAAACAATGAGTCATGTCGTATCAATGGTCATGTGTTATGGACTAGACTAGACCCCCTCAAAATATTTTAAGAAAGTAGCCTAAACCCTAACTTTTTCGTTTTTAAAGGCAAATGGGAAGTGCTGTGTTCTAGATGCAATGCAACTGGTCAAACTACATGGCATTAAGCAAAACACAATTTATTCAAACACTATAGTTAAAATACCACAGAAGAAAGAAGAATTTAGAATAACAACACTATTGGAAAAGTTGACAGATTAGTAGATACAGTAACTACTACTAATTAACTGTTCCAATATAGCAACATCCCATAAACACACCCCTTTGCAAAAAGGCAAATTCAGAAATCTGATTTTCTCACATGCAAAAAAAAAGGACAAAACACACCTCTTAAGCCACAGCATTGTCGCACAGGTCTGTGGTTTGAAAGAAACATGCATTCAGAAATCTGCCTTAAAGAAACCACTGCTGTTTCAAATCTGTAAATGTGTCAGTCAGACATAACCACTATTGTATCATTTATAGAAGCTTTATACCACTTTTCAAATCTTAATCTTGCCCAAATACAGAGACACTGAAAGAAAGAGTTCAAAGAAAGAATAACTTGTACTAATCAATGAAAAGAAACAATACATGTTCACCTGTGGAAACAGAGGCCTCCTGAACTCATGAATTACTGGGTCTTGAAGCTCAGCCAAGCATTCATAAAGAAACCAGGTGTGAGCTAATAGAGGTGGCATAGGGAGTTTATTGCTGACATGGAGAGTTAGGTTGGGTGGAGGGTATGGGTGTTTGGGGTGAGGGCTAAAAACTTTAAAAACCTTTAATTCAACTGGACCAAGGTTTCCTCGCCCTCCCCCCACTCCCTACGAAATCTCTACCATCTGGGTTGTTGCCAAACAGCAGTCAGGTTTTCATTCTATCGATCTTCTTTTCCATGCACAAATCTCTACACTCTCATTTCTGCTGGATGGTCCACCCTTCCTTCAGCTCCTTCCACCTTCAGTCAGTGTGGTCTGTGCAGTGGAAGGTAGACGCTACCCAACACTGATCCCAACTTCATGTTTCCCCATGACTGAACTGGCCTCAAAGTAAGGTGGAGGAAAACTGTGGAAAGAATGACTCAGCACTCTGGTATTACAAAGGCACAGGTAAAGACGTCTACTCCTGGAGGACCATGATGCTGTTCTTTCATTACAGAGACTACTGGTGATGGTTTAACCTGACAGTCACCACACCTCAGGCAAGAGGAGAGGTTGAGAAGGAGAATCCTTCATGGTGACCTCAGCCTGAACCTGCTGTCAGAGGGTCAGTTGGCTAGAGGGCTGGTTTGCAATGCAGACTTGATGCCAGTATCATAGGTGAAATTCCTGCACCAGCTGAGATCGCCGCTAAAGGTCCCATGTTCTCTCCCCTTTCCTGAGGCACAGTGTTAAACCACCATCGATCATCTCTAATGAGAGAGTAATCCTATGGTCCGGTAAGACTGTGGTGGCTTTACAAGGGCACAACACACAAGCCAATCAACAGGAATTCTTTACTCACTGGGGAAGGCAAATCTGAATAGAATGGGTTCTCACTAATTGCCTCCAATTCAAAGTGAGACCAGGAGCCTTTAAATTAGAAGATCACCAGCCAGTGCCTTTTAAGGGTGAGTGTGGATTTGATGGGCTGAATGGTCTGGTTCCACACTGTAGAGATTGTTTTGATTTATTGATTTGATTTATTGTCATGTGTACCTAAGTACAATGGAAACCTTTTGATTGTGAGCAGTTAAGGAAGATCGTAGCAGGCAAGGATATACAGATCATAAGGTGTTTGAACTAGCGAGGCATACAGGTTGCAATGCAGAGAAGGTGCGTGGAGCAAAGTCAACCTTAACAAGATCAACATTATTTGAATTTGGAGAGTCCATTCATCAGTCTAATAACAGCAGGGAAGAAGCTGTTCTTGAACCTGTTAGTGTGTGTTTAAGTTTCTGTACCTTCTGCCTGATGGAAGAGGTTGTAGGAGAGCATCACCAGGCTAGGAGGGATCTTTGATGATGTGGGCAGCCTTTCAGCAGCAACGAGAGGTGTAAATGGAGTCCACAGATGGAAGGTTGGTTTCCATGATGGTCTGGACTGTGCACACCACCTTCTGCAGTTTCTGTAGGAAACTTTTCTGTAGGATTTTGATAACAGTGCCCCCTGTGAAATAGGCAGCTCCACATCAGAGATAATTCTCACTCACAGGGTCACTTTGTTTTTAAAGGTGTAGCCAAGATTTAAACAGTGCAAGTGACATGATCAAGACAATGGACAAGGGTTAACATTCTGGTAGCTTACCAGATTCCATTACCATCAGCAGAAATACCAGTAACTAGGCTCTTGAGTACTTGATAACAAGATTGCACTCCAACTTTCAGCCCCAATATCGCGATCTGTCCAATATCACAAGAACCTGCTAGTTACATGTAAATATATAAAGCTTAAACAAATTTAACAATAGGCTGTTCATGTGGTAACTTTTTGTTTAGAAGCCAGAACTTCTTATGACATGAATCATTTGACTAGACTTGGACTTGACGTGTAGGAAAAGATAACTCATCAATCTCAAGGTCTGCTGCCAGTGAGCAGGAAATGTTGAATCAGTGTGAAGAAGAGAAAAAAAAAAGTGCCAGAAATCAAGGAGGATTGAGCCAGAAACTAACATGAAACATCTCACACAGACTCTATACCTCATTGTAAATAAACACAGACCCTGTATCCTACAGAAAACACAGATCCTGAACCCCACTGTACACAAACCCGGGCGCTGTAAACAGCTGGAAACCATGGATGAACCGAGAGATCCACTCCCTACTGAAGTCCAGGTCTGAGGCGTTCAAGTTGGGTGACCCTGACCTATACAGGAAATCCAGGTACAGTCTTTGCAAAGCCAGCAGCCAAGAAACAGTTCCAGACTAGAGTCTCAGACTAACCACATGCACACACGTTAATTGTGGTAAGGCTTACGCGATATAAGAGGTTACAAAGCGAAGTTGAGTAGAATCACGGATAACAATGCATCCCTCCCCGATGAGCTCAATGCATTCAATGCTCATTTTGAACAGAAGGTCAGTGAAATGATAACACCTGCCCCAACAACCTCAGGGGCACCTGTACCCACTGCAACCGCGCAGATGTCAGGTCGGCCTTCTTGAGAGTGAACCCACGGGAGGCGACTGGTCCTGATGGAGCCCCCCGGCCATGCACTCAGATCCTACGCGAACCAGCTGGCAGGAGTATTTGCAGACATCTTTAACCTCTCCTTACTGCAATGTGAGGTTCCCACCTGCTTTGAGAAGACCACTATCATCCCAGAGCCAAAGAAAAATCAGGCAACGTGCCTTAGTGACTACTGGCTCTGGCATCCACCACTATGAAGTGCTTCGAGAGGTTAGTAATGACACACACCAACTCCAGCCTCCCACTGCAATTCACCTACTGATGCAACAGGTCCACAGAAGATGCCATCTCCCTGGCCCTACGCTCATCCCTGGATAACAAAGACAACTACGTCAGGCTCCTATCTTTCACTATAGCTCCGCCTTCAACACTATAATTCCAACAAACTCCTCTCTAAACTCCAACATCTAGGTCTCGGCACCTCCACTTTGCAACTGGATCCTCGATTTCCTGACCCGCAGACTGCAGTGAGGATAGGCAACAAAACCCTCCTCCACAGTAATCTTCAACACCGGTGCCCCAGAAGACTGCGTACTCAGTCCCTTATTATACTCCTTACACACAAGCCTAGACCCTCTTCCTCATGAAGCAGCAATTCGATATTTACAGGAAGCTGCGAGAAAGTCTCTCTAATCTGCTGCAAATGAGCCAGAGAGGCACAGAGGATGTCAGGGAGAGATACTTATTGTTGAGGCTCCCAGGGAGGGTCAGTTTTTTGAGAGGAGAACCAGTGTGTTTTCATAAACTCTTTGACATGATATTTTGTTCATTCGTTCATGGGTTGTGGGTACCACTGGCCTGGCCAGCATTTATTGTCCATCCCTAATTACCCAGAGGGCAGATAAGAGTCAACCACATTGTTGTGGGTCTGAAGTCACATGTAGGTCAGACCAGGTAAGGATGGCAGATTTCTTCCTGTAAAGGCCATGAGTGAACCAGATGGGTTTTTCCTGTTTAAACAGTTGTTTTAAAAGTTAGTGACGTCTCTGTCCTGTCACCTTGTCTGTGTTTGTGCTGATATTATCCTGGGGCAGTTTGGAAATGATGTGGGATCTTCCTGTTCTCTATAGCTCAGTGTGACAACAGACATCTTTGAGACTGCGCCTTCAATCTCTCAACCGTACACACTGACTGAACACCGTGGCTGCCAAATGAGATAATCTTTGTGTTTACAGAGCTGTGATTGAAAACACATCATGTGCCAGTACATTTCCAAATTATAATGACACTACCAGTTTCAAATCTTAGATCGGGGATGCCTTTTCTGGGAGTTTGTGTCGTTTTAATTCCAATTTCTAAAAAGGGTGGAACTTTGAAGGGGAATTGTGGCAAGATTAGGGATTCTGGGTCATGGTTTCACACTAATTGCTCCTATCCACCACTGAGGCCCTCATCTCACTCCTGATCCTGCTCCTGGTCCTGCAGAGGATGACCAAGATGAGGGCCTGGTCAGACAGGAGGAGCGGACAACCAGACTGAAACATTCAGGCTGTCAGGCCTACCTTCTTGGGCACATTGTCCAGAGCACAGAGAAACAGCTAACAGTATAAAGCTTCTTCATTTGCTGCTTTTCTTTTTGCCAGGGTGCTCATGAGCCTAAAGGCCCGAGTGAGAAATACATCCAGCTGGAGCGATTGGTGCAGTTAGTTGTCTCCCCCTATCTGGGCACCTATGAACTGCTGTCCAGGGACAGGAACCCTGCCGATACTGTGCACATACTTGGTAGGTCAATGCCATTTGCTGTTTGTAGGCGACGGAGTTGGGGGGGTGCAGGAGAGAGTCACGAGAAAGACAAATGCAGCCACATGCGGCGACACAGTGGCTAGCACTGCTGCCTCACAGCGCCAGGGACCCAGGTTCAATTCCAGCATCAGGTGACTATTTGTGTGAAGTTTGCACGTTCTCCCTTGAGCGCTCTGGGTTCCTTCCACAGACCAAACATGTGCAGTTTAGGTAGATTGGCTGTGCTAAATTGCCCATAGTGTACAGGTTAGGTGGGTTAGCCATGGGGAATACAGGGATAGGATAGAGGGGTGAGCCTGGATAGGATGCTGTTTGGAGGGTTGGTATGGACTCAGTGGGTCGAATGGCCTGCTTCCACGCTGTAGGGATTCTATGATTCTCCGTGGCTCTCGTTCTGTTCAGCCCCTTTCTATACATTATCATTTCTCAGAGTTTTTTTAATATAGTTGTGGCTGGAGAACTTGGTTGAAGACATTTTTTAAAGTACAAAATATTTATCGGCTGGTCCAATAGTCTATTGAACATGATTTCAAACATGAATTGGTTGAGTATAAACTGGGGAAATGAGTTGTTAGTCTGTTGTACAGACTATCTCCCGATTTTGATTCACAATGGCCAGGGGGACAATAAATTGGACTTTCAACTTGCTGTCACCCATTTTATAACAAAGTCCAAATGACTTCCATTACCATAGAACTTGACCGTTGAAATCTACAAAAACTGTTCTAAATAACACAGTCATAGAGGCATACAGCACAGAAACAAACTCTTCAATCCAACCAGTCCATGCCGACCATAATCCCAAACTACACCACCTGCCTGTTCTTGGCCCATATTCCTCCAAACATTTCTTATTCATGTACTTATTCAAATGTCTTTTAAACGTTGTAACTGTGGCCGCATCCACCACTTCCTCTGCAAGTTCGTTCCATACACGAACCACTGTACATAAAAAAGTTGCCCGTCATGTCCCTTTTAAATCTTTCTCCTCTCACCTTAAAAATGTGCCCCCTAGTCTTGAAATCCCCCACCCTAGGGAAAAGACACCTGACATTCACCTTATCTATACCCCTCATGATTTTATAAACCTCTATAAGGTCACCCCTCAACCTCCTACGCTCCGGTAATAAAGACCCAGCCTATGCAGCCTCTCCTTATAACTCAAACCCTCCATTCCCGGCAACATCCTGGTAAATGTTCTCTGAACCGTCTCCAGCTTAATAATATCCTTCGACTTATACACCATGTGAAGAAAATAAGAATGATGAGTGTAGGCAGTCACAGTAATAGGAAGGTAAAGAATGACACTGCTAATTCACGTTTAATAAATGTCACGCAGCTTGTTGAATAAATTAATTGTACAAAGATACCTCTGGCCATAACAGAAACATTTTACAGCCCATCACATTGATTGTTTTCGGCATCTGAAGTGCAAGAGTTTGTCAGAATACATTCAGAGTCAGTTTGGCTGTGCCTATTGATCATAAGGATCTGACACTGTGAAACTGATGTGAGACTTGAGATTTCAGAATTATCTCTCCACAATTGTTTAGATGGACAGTAGCATGAGGTATATTTACTGCCTGTCTCAATTTGAGGCAATTGCACGTCATGAAACCCAGGCCCAGAAATGGCCATTGTTGAATTTATTCATTCCCATCACCTCATCTGCTTGTTTAACTCCTGTGAGGCTCCTTCTACACAGTTGACTGCAAGTAAAAACTGCAATTGGCCCATGTCTGTGCCGGAAATCTCCCTAATTATGCCCACAGATGATGTGACCTACAAACCCCGAGGCCGAACGAGCTTAGATTTGAGACTGTCTTTAGAGTTTGCTGCTCTGTCCTATTTGCATACTTTGAGGAATGGAGAAAGCAGTTTGTGATAGATTATAGTGTATCGGAAACATTGATATCACAATCCAGGCAAGAATGATGTGTCTCACTGCAAAGACATAAGGGATGAGATTCTCACACATGGGGCCATCACATGATGCCACACTCCCACCTTGAAATAGCAGCCCATTCAACCAGTCACTGGGAGAGTGGTCACAATTTCAAAATCTAGGAATTAGGGAGGGGGAGTCACAATTTCACGATTCAAGAACTAAGTGGGGCCGGGGGTTACAGTTTCAAGATTTCAGAACTGATGGGGGTGGGGTGGGGGTGTCAAAATTTCAAGATTCAGCAATTGGGGTGGGGTTACAATTTCAAGAGTGTCAGCAAGTGAGCTAGAAATGAGATGAGGAGAAACTGAAGAATTGTTAGGATTTGGAATGCGTTGTCTATGCAAGTGGTGAAGGTGAATTCCACAGGGGGTTTCAAAAGAGAGTGATGAAAGTGACGCACTTGGAGGGCTACGGAGTTAGGGCTGGAGAGTGGGACAAACTGGGTGGGTCTTTCAGGAGCCAGCACACATGGAAGATCGAATGGCCTCATTCTGTACTGTAAAATTCTGTGATTGTATTTTTGGTCTCTATGTGTCGGGCATGGGGGGTCACTGCTTCCTGTGGCAGGCCTGAGGGGGCAATGAAGATGGGTAACTGTCAAGGCTAGCCCTCTGAGGGCCTGTCTCCATTTACTGGGACACTGGCTCAATGCAATTCACCATTCTAAGACTCTCTATCTCTAACATCTGACTGCTGTCCCCCATTCCCCCTCCATTCCCCTTCTAAAGCCCCCATGTTACCCATAACCCCTCCCTCTCCCTTCATGCTTAAGCCCACTACTTATTTTTGATACACAAAAGCAAAGTGCTAAGGGATGTTGAGTATATGAAATGTAAATAAAAAATGCTAGAGAATCTCAGCAGGTGTGACAGCCTGGATTTGTGCGAGGAAAGTCATGTCTCACCAGCTTGACTGAGTTTTTTGAGGAGGTGACAAGAATGATTGATGAGGGAAGGCCAGTGGATATTGTCCACGTGAACTTTAGTAAGACGTTTGATGAGGTACCTCATGGCAGGCTGATACAGATGGTCAAGCCTCATGGGATCTGCAGTGAGCTGGCTAGATGGATACAAAACTGGCTGGGTCATAGAAGACAGAGAGTAGCGGTGGAAGGGTGCTTTTCAGAATGGAGATCAGTAACTAGTGGTGCTCAGCAGGGATCAGTGCTAGGACCTTTGTTGTTTGTAATATATATGAATGATCCGGAGGAAAATGTCAGTGGTCTGATCAGTGCGAATTATACAATAAATGGTAGAACCCTTAGGAGTATTGACATACAGAGGGATCTGGGTGTACAAGTGCACAGTGACAACACAAGTTGGATAAGGTGGTCAAGAAGGCATACAGCACACTTGCCTTCATCGGCCGGGGCATTGAATATAAAGGTTAGTGAGTTACGTTGCAGCTGCACAAAACTTTAGTCAGGCCACGTTTGGAATATTGTGTGCAGTCCTGGTTGCAACATTGGCAGTAGGACGTGCTTGCTTTGCAGAGAGTGCAGAGAAGATTTACTAGGTTGCTGCCTAGTTTGGAGGGTTTTAGTTATGAGGAGAGGCTGGATAAACTCAGATTGTTTTCACTGGAAAGACAGAGCCTGAGGGGCGATCTGATAGAGGCATAGATAGGGTGGATAGTCAAAGGCTTTTCCCCAGGGTGGAAAGGTCAACTATAAGAGGGCACAGATTCAAGGTGAGAGGGAGAAAGTTTATGGGAGAAGTGCACCCAAAGCCCAGCTGGTACAGATATGGTGGGCCGAAGGGTCTGTTCCTGTGCTGTACTGTCCTATACGTCTATTTAATTGAATGGTAGTTGGCTTGACAGGTTTGGCATCATTAGTGATAGCCATGGATGATAAAAGGGTTGTAAAAACCTGAAGACCACAGGAGAAAGCTTAATTTAAAAGGGGAAACCTTTCTTTCAATAGTTTTGAATGTTCTTGCCCAATCCTTTGATCTATCACGAGCTAGATGTGAGGTTCCAAAGGAGAATTCACTCGTTGCTCCTAGGCACCCAAAGTCACCCAAAGCCCAGTGAGCTCGGCCAGTTAGAATTAGAATGAGCTTCATTATCACATGTACTCACATGAATACAATGAGAAGTTCACAAATCACCACTTAAGGCACCATCTTAGGTACCAAGGTACATAGGTACAGATTCTTAAATACAAATTCTTAGGAAAAAAAATTAAAAATAAAGAAATAAACACTCCAGCAACAAATGATAAAAACTGAGAAATAAGAGTTCGGAATAAAAGTCCTTCCAACCCAGACCGCAGCAGACTTTACATCAAGGCCAGGACTGCTGGGAATCCCGAGTCTGCACTGACGCTGGGAGTTCGAGTCCGCACTGAGGCTGTGAGTTCGAGTCCGTGCTGAGGCTGGGAATCCCGAGTCTGCACTGAGGCTGGGAGTTCAAGTTCGCGCTGAGGCTGGGAGTTCAAGCCCGTGCTGAGGCTGGGAGTTCAGTCCGCGCTGAGGCTGGGAATCCGAGTTCGCACTGAGCCTGGGAGTTTGAGTTCACACTGAGGCTGGGAATCTGAGTCCGTGCTGAGGCTGGGAGTTCGAATCCACGCTGAGGCTGGGAGTTCTAGTCCATGCTGAGGCTGGGAGTTTGAGTCCGTGCTGAGGCTTGGAGTTCTAGTCCGTGCTGAGACTGGGAGTCCTGAGTCCGCGCTGAGGCTGGGAGTCCCGAGTCCACGCTGAAGCTGGGAGTCCCGAGTCCATGCTGAAGCTGGGAGTCCCGAGTCCGTGCTGAGGCTGGGAGTCCCAAGTCTGCACTCAGGCTGGGAGTCCCAAGTCTGCACTCAGGCTGGGAGTCCCAAGTCCACACTGAGGCTGGGAGTCCCAAGTCCACACTGAGGCTGGGAGTCCGAGTCCGTGCTGAGGCCGGGAGTTTGAGTCCACGCTGTATTTTGTTGAGTAGGAGGTGCAGTAGTTTTCTAATGTTCTGAGGGAGGGCCCCTAGACCGGAAATGTTAACTCTGATTTCTCTCTACACATGCTGCCAGACCTGCTGAGATTTTCCAACAACT